ACAGCAGTACGATAAATTATTCCTTCAACAACTATACTGAAGCTTCCATTCATTGAGTCAAATAATTTATCAAAGAATAAAAATATATCTGCTGTATCTGTTGCACTGGGTTCAATTATACTTTTTGCTAAAGAAAAAAAACTTCATAATTTATTTAAAATTTTAATATTATGATATTAAAAATTATGACAGCGTATACTTGACAGAGGAAATTCCCGGGCCAATATGTACAGTGTACACTACAAAGTATGTTATTCAATGTTCTTTTGCTAGGCAATGTAAAAAGTACAGACAGTAACCTATAACATTTTGGGCTTTTTTTATAAATAGAGAGACTCAATATTTTTTCCTCTAATGTAAATCTGTGGCCTTTTTTCTTTTTTTGTGTTTCTCTAAGTTGCAAACGAGTGAACAACGAGGCAGCTGGGGTAATTTTATCAGCCAGATTTTTTTTTAATTATGTGTCACTAAATTTTTCTGCTGCGCGTAAGCGGTTCTTAAAAAGTTGTTTTTTACTATTCAAGCGCCGTTGTTTTTTAATCATCTGGCTTGTGATAGAATAAAAAATTTTACATCTGAGAGTAAGCTGCTTGCAATTTTGTAGACCTATGCTTGCTAATAATCCTAAAAGAATAAAATAGTATCAAGCAATGCAATGTACACAATTTTCAATATGTTTATTTGGTTATCAATAAAATTGTTCAAATTTCTATTTATGCATGCAATATACAAGTTACATATTTTTTTTATCTAAAATCTAACTTTTTAAAATCATTATTTAATAATTTTTAATTCATTTTTTATACATTGGTAACAATATAAACAAATTACAAAGATAGGTAAGTATTATGCATTGCATCGAAACCTAAAATTAATAAAAATAAAAATATTATTAACCAGGTTTCCTCTTCACTACTGTATATTTTGGAGAATAGCAAGGTTGAGCAGTTTTAGTGACAGTTCTGGCATTATTAACAGCATTAGCATAAGCAAAATTACTAATTAAAGCATCGCTATCATCTATATAAAGCATTATTAATATAGCTGTGCACTTAATATTAATATATATTTTTAAATTATAAAACAAGTCAATTATATAATATAGATTATAGGTGTCATACCCATTAAATCATTGTTCATGAATGAAGTTTCTAAAACGTTTATTCCAGATAAACATGAATCATTCAACTTGGTTTGTTCGCAAGAATCTCCTAAAATTTCAAAGCCAGAAGACACTGTTGGCTGTGGAGTAGAAATAGGCGGATCGACATTTAAATCTTAAACAAATTTGAATAGTTCACTAATTATGAAGGGTGTTACAACACTTACCCAACTATAACATTCAAAACATAAGTTATTATAGTACATACTTGTTAAATTGATCGTAGGGTATGCATTAGCATTAAGCCTTTTTGTGCCAGGACTTGAGCAATCACTAGCAAAATGTTTCTCACAAATAAATTTTTTATTATATACTGTTATTGGATCCAAGTTGTTTAGACCTATTAAATTCGTCCACTTTACCAGTCTTTGCATGTCTGTTCTTGGACTAGGGAATCGGTGACAAATAACATCTAGTACAAAACCAGATAACTAATTGGTAATAGGCACTAGAATATTCTATATTATACATTTATGTCATATATGATATATATAACTTAATATAGTCATTAATATCAAGAAGATGCCAAACCTGAATTTGTTGACACTGTCTTACAAATGTAGAACATATCAAAATATAAAGTTCATTCAGCATAATCGATTATATTAATAATATGAGAAATAATTTATGAGAATTTTTAAGGAATTTTAATTCATAAGAATTCCCGAGATATTTTTACATTTAGGCTATACAATTTATTATGGGTACATTCACTCCAATATTATAGATAACAACACAAATCGATTCTACTGAACATAAATATTAAGTAATAACTAAATATAGGTACCTATGGAATTATTTAAATACTCATTTTCTGTAAAAATATAATACTGTAAGACCTAAAATGTATGAAAGTAGTTCTACCTAACCTACTTTCTAGGTAGGTATATCAAAACATATTAGTGTATACTGTATAATGTGATTAGATAGAAAAATGCTATAATTTTACTATGATATTGACTAATTATATTTGGTTTCATAATTGGCCATCAGTAATGAAACAGCATCTTACAATCGTATAATTTTATTATAATAAATTGAACCTAGAGAAAAATCGGTTGAATTTAGCATCAAGTTTTCTGATAATATATATTATATTAGTTCTTAAATGGTTAAGGGCCGATCTTATGACGGCCGGTTTAAAGTTAACCGACACTTAACCGGCGGAATTCTGCCGGGTAATAAAATCTTGTTATCAGTCGGTTAGCGTTAACCGACACTTTACCGGACATTGTAAGAACGGCCCTAAGTGTATTTTACGCTATCGACTTTATAATCGGTACATACCTTTTGATTTACAATCATTCACCACACGCTTCGACGCATTTTTGGCAGACATAATTGAAAATAAGTGTTTATTGTACAAATAATAAGTAGGTACACAACAAAGACGCAAAATACTAGTTATTAGTATTATAAAAGTTATAAAGACAATTAATGACAATTGAAAATTTGAAAATGAGAACGGCAATAAATTAGGTGATCATAAGAGACTAGCAAGTATTCAGTAATCGGAATATGAAGACTCAATGGCGAACGCTAAAGCAGCTGGTCTCCGCCGCCCGGCAACGACGACATGCAGCGCTAATGGTGGTTGTACAATGAATCTTTACGGCACAAAACGTTCCTATAGAGTTGCACCAGCCTGTAAGCAACACTGAGGACTTGGAGCTTAGCTCCCATCCACCACTCTAGCTGCATCCCCGACAGGCCCGCCCTCTGGTTGAAAACCCAACTCCACATGTATAAGCACATTGGATTTAAGGTCGGGCAATTGAGAAGTACCATTAGAGAAAAATAGCAGAGAACTATGTTAATTTCTAGTTGATGGAAGAAACTACTCATTTATCCAATTGCCATTTGGACTAAACATAAGCGGGTCAGAGTTCCAGAAAAGTATGGATAAAGTGCTGGGACCATTGTTACACACTTTCGTAACGATATGCGTAGATGACATTTTAATTACGTCAGTAGATGAAAACAGCCACTACGAACATATCTGGACAGTGTTAACAAAGTTCAAGCAATTCCACATTACAGTCAATATTGACAAATGCAAATTCTTTTTGAAAGAGGTAGCATTTTTAGGACATATTATTTCCACAGAAGGATTAAAAATGGACCCAGAAAAAATAAAACAATCAAATTTCTCTTCTAAATCACAACAGTCAAAACGTCACGCTGCTATGGATTCCTAGCCATACCGGAATCCCCGGCAACGAAACAGTAGACAACTACGCTAAAAGAGCTATAACCTCCCCTGAAGCCTCCTTAGTTCTCTGGTAGATATCAAGGGAGTAATACAATCCCTGATGCTGCAACAGTGGCAACATCGTTGGACATCATCACACACAAAATTAAATTAAATCAAACCTTCTATAAACCCTTGACCAACACTCACTTCTCAGAGACGTCATGAAGTCATAATTAACAGACTCAGAATCGGGCATACGTGGCTTATACACAGCTTTCTCATGAGACACAAAGATCCTGCCCAATGTATAACCTGTGGAGAAGCTCTAACTATCGAACACGTCCTTCTACACTGCAGATACCAGAACCTCAAAAAAATAAAAATATTATATTGGGACATAGGGTAGATTGTAGATTGTACAGTTATTGGCACTTTAGTGTGCTTCCCATTTTCAACAATTCATGAGAAAAAAAATAATCATAATACAATAACTTATTTTTGATGAATTGATTTGATATTATCTCATCTTTGTATTGATATAATTATTTTGTACCTGATCTATTATATATTAAATGATAATATATATTTTATGAAATTATGTCAAAAACTACAGTTATTGGCACTTGAATTATGTTATTGGCACCCGATGATATAGTTATTGGCATCTAATTAGGAACTAAGAAAGTTCTTTAATTTTAATACTTAGGTAGGTAGGTAAAATACAATTTACTTTAATTTTAATTATCATATACCTACCTAGGTACCTAGTCTTATTATAGGTATTTAGATAATAATAATATAGCCAAATGTGATGATTTATAATAATTAAGTAAGTAGGTATAATAATAGTATACATAGCATATAATAAGTCAATGTAAAAAATGGTTTATCTTAGAGTTTTAAATTATATTTCAAGTAGGTTCAGTAAGTCTTACTACTAAAGAACATCTTAATAATATAGGTACTATGATACTATTGAGTATACCTAATGAGGTACCTAATGTAAAAATAAATTAACATACAATTACAATACAAATATTTGCAAATATCTGTTCTTTTTACCATTTACCTATTATCCACAAACAAGTTTAAATAATAGTTAATATTATAAGTTAAATAAATTAATCATTGAACACAGCTAGGTTCTTTATTAAATACTCATAAAATTATTTAAAATATAAGAACAATTTAGTCTTTAAAAATTAAAAATACTTATAAATGATAAAAACAATTAAAAATATAAAACACAATTAACAGTTAACAAGCGCAAATTGTAAATACAATACATTTATTAAATTTATCATTGCACACAGCTAGGTTTTTTACTAAATACTCATAGAATGATCTAAAAAATAAAAACAATTTAGTCTATAAAAATTAAAAATACTTATAAATGATAAAAACAATCAGCATTACAACTTACATTCACCAGATAACTAAATTAAAAAAAAAATATTTTACCTTCTCATTCAAAACTTTTGATATGTACAAGTCCACCATAGAAAAAATAAAAAAATTAAGACAACTTTACTCAACCTTTAAAAATACATATTAGTAATAAAAAGAATCAGTCTTCCATTTACTTTGTTGACCAGATTACTAATCAAATTAAAACTTATTTCTTACTAACCTTATACTTATAAACTACTTTAAGTGGTTTTGGCACGGTTTGCAAATAAATAGAAATGATTCTCCTACACCTAAATCACAGAATTCATCTTTGGTTAAACATTTCAAATGGTACATATGGGAACAAAAAGTACAATCAACACCTTTTGATATTTCGCTTAAGTTTTTTCCACAGCTAAAACACAGTCCTACTGTAACATAAGTTATTACATCATTAACACTCTCATCATCATCAACATTAAATAACACTACATTTTTATGGTTATCAATTTGTTTAGCTAATGCTTCACTAGTTATAGTTTCAGTTGGTATTTTTTTTTTAATGATTTTTTCAGGAAATATATTTCTTGCAACCTTTAACTTTTCGACACGAGTTGGTTGTTTTTTAAGAGATTTTCCAGTTAAACTACTCTTCTTCAACCTGTTTTCAATTCTATATTTTTTTCTGTCTTCTTTTTCCATCTCAATTTTTCTTTTCTTTTCTGCTTTAGTCTGTTGTATATTCTGCCAACTTTCTGATGATATAACATACGGTATTCTTTCAGTAGAACGTTTTCCCTTTCTTTCTGGAGTGACTGGCCAAACAAGACATGATTGTAGAGGAGATATTTTAAATACTTTTTTATTTATAGTTCTTGGTGTCTCTAAAGCTCCCTCTATTTCCATTTCATCTTGGATATTCTGATTTTCACTAATAATATTTAAGAACAAATTTGGGGTTTCTTCTACACTCATAGTCATCTCCTCTTGATTAGTTTTCTTTTCTAATATCATATCTTCAACTATATCACTACTATCCCAAAAGCTTTCATTAATTTCTTCAGGAACTAAAATTACATTATCTTCATTAATTTCTTCAGGAACTAAAATTACATTATCTTCATTAATTTCTTCAGGAACTAAAATTACATTATCGTCATCAATTTCTTTGCATGAATTATTTGTACAGGCTTTTGTAGTACAGTTCTCATTATCATTTAAAACATTATCAGTACAACCACTTAACAATTTGTAAATCTTAGAAGCTAGAACAGTTTTATTCTTGGGACATAATGAAAAGCCAGTTTCATCTCCATTAAACACTCTAGTTGGATCTTCTAATATTTCATTCAAACCATTTTCTACTAAATATAGATGAACTTCAGAAAACCATTTTTTGATATCTGTTTCACTGATACATGCATTCGCTGATGTGACATGTTCACTAGTACGTACAGAAATTAATGGGTGTCTTCTCATAAATGCTTTGTACCACCCAAAGCCTAAAAAAAAATACACATATCTAAGTATTCTAAATATGTATATCAACCTGACATATATTGTTAAAATACCTGGCAAATTATTTTTAAAAGGATTTTGTCTTTTGTTAGTTTCCAGGAATTTCTGAACACTATTTAATAAGTCTTCCTTTCGTCTTGGAAAACCTTTCCTACAACTATCAATAATCCAAGTTTGTAATAAATCTTCTTCATCTTGAGTTAGTACTGTTGCTGGTCCGCATGTAATTTTCATATTATGATTCTTAAAGGCATACACAACCCAAAAAAAAAAAAAAAAAATTAAACTTGGTTTTCATACTTAGTAGTATAAAAAAAAATATCATGAAAACAGAATGTGAAAAAAAAAATTATTCACAGAGTTAAGGCGAAATCAAAATATACCTGTGACGTCATTGCGTCGGACGTCTCCGCGCGGCACTGGCAGCCGGTCGCAACAAACCGTATGAAGTATACGTATAATAATATTCTCGTCGCCTGCCGATCGCTAATCGCCGATTATTTTTTTTTTATTTCCATAAATAGGTCCTTTAATTATTTATAAATTATAAATATAACACTATTCCTAAATACTTATAAATAATAAACGTCATTGCGTCGGCCGTTTCCAAGCGGCATCGGCAAACATATAAAAATTATTATTATTATCGTCGAATGTCGGGTGTCGACATGTCGACTGTTATTATTTTGTTGCAGATTCATGATGTGTTTCATTTTTATTTGCTATCATTTAATTTCGTATATAATACCAAGTGAAATTTAATAAATTTACATTATAAATCTCACTACTTATACACAGAATAATAATGTCTTTAATACCATTCAATTTTGATCCTGACATTGAAGGTATAGACCGCTACTTACAAGAAGATGATGACGATCCAGCTGTCAATTATGAAGGTAGATTAAATAATTCCAATTGGTGTTCTTGTGGATACTGTAAAGGAATGCTTAGTGACATCGATTGTTTATGCTGCAATGAGTTACCAAATTTAGAAAAAATACGACAAGAAGAAGGGAAATGTATTACTTTACATCGATCATTTTCGAAACTAATATTGGATAAAGAAATACTAAATATTACTAGACACAATTTAATACTAAAAACTAAAAACAGAATTAATAAAAAAAAATTGGGTCAACATCATCCAGAAAATAAAACGTGGAGATTTATTTGTTATAAACAGTATACGTCTTGGGTCAATTCTTGGTTTGCAATGGGAAAAGGAAACCGAGTGGTTTTGCCTGCATGTGTTGTACAGAAAATAAGAGAAGAATATCCAGAACCAAATGGAATATACGTAGGATTCAAAAATTCAAAAAAATTACCGGCTTAATCAATCTGTATTACTAACAATATTGTGAACCAGAGTATAAAAATTATATAATATAAAAAAAATATAGTGTAAAAATTTTTTTTTCCTTACAACATTGTAATTTATGAATTGTTATAATATAATAATTTTAATACTTTGTCAACATAGCACAATTTAAAAAAACAAAATGGTTATTTAATAATTAATATATATATAACATAAAAAAGATATTCAACTAATATTAAGAAACCGTGAATGATGGGAATTTCGCATTATTTCCAATGCAGGTCGATCAATAGGTGCGATGTTTTTAGGCAGAGTTACATTGAGTGGTGTTTTCAATGGTGACATTTCGACTCCGTTTAAATGATCCAGTATTAAGTTAATTATTTCATCTCTCCAATTATTTGTACCTTTTTCATAAATATTTTTAGTAACCCATTTTCCAGTAGGTTTAGAAAATAAATAATTTAAACCTATTTTTTTTTTATTTAAATTGGAATTATGGTCAATTATAGCAATTATTGATTTTATGTACATCGCTTTAAAAGAAAAATGAACACGTTTTGGAACATATTTTAATCTTAAATTATGGTAAGACTCTAATCTTCCCGTGTGTACATAATTTTTTGTTTGCTTTAAATCTGTCAAAAACTTTTTGTTGCAAATTATTTCTTTTAATAGTTCATAAGGTTTAGAATCAGGAAGTAACCATAGTTTTTTTTTTTTGTACTCGGTGGATGTTCACAAGTTTTTTTTAATCCATCCTCTTCCCATTCATGAACGTTTTTAATATGTTTCAATATAGATGTAAATTTTGTGACTAATACTTCAGAATCGCCATTGCATGTTTGTGCCGACCACCATAAATGATTACTTATGGATTGCTTCCATGCCAAAACTTCTTCGTATTTTTTATTAATTGTTTTAAATTTTTTCATTAGGCTTTTAGATAAATGCCATAAATCAAATTCATGTGTGATTTCTGGGTAAGATGTTTTCAACAAATGCCTTATTCCTACATGGCGGTCGGTTAATAATAAATCAATTTTGCATTTATCGGTACCTATTAATTTATCAATTAATTGTTTACAAGCATTTTTTTCTAAATCTCCCGGCATCATTTTTTTTTTGAATTAATTGAAAATCTACTATACAACCAGAATTAATGTCCATAAAAGTATAAGTACAATATTTGGCACAAAAACCAGGTGAATCGTACTGACCATCTCCAGCAATCCATAACTGTCCACTTTCCTTGACATAATTCATCTGTTCTGTTCTCTTTTTCTCCCATATTTTTTCGATTAGAGGGTAAGAATATTTATTCATAATTTTATCGTATGTTGTTCTACTAAACATTACAAGTTTTAAACTTGAACAAAATACTTTAAACGTAGCAAATAAAGTACCAGATAAAAGTATAGATGTAGCAATATGTACGTGACCCTTAGAAAATTGTTTATTAACAGGCTGTGAAAACCATTTTGATGAGTGACCTTCGCTACATTCTGATCTTACACATATTGTTGCACCAATTGCGTACCATTTTTTATTTATTATTTTACTTTTACAAATATTACAAACTGTAAACAGTGTTAGTAATGAATTAATAAATACTAAACAATATTTTATTTCGGTATTTTCAACATTATCAAATTCTTCAGTGTAGTCTTCCTCCTCATTTTCACACTCAAAATCGGGATCATCATAAAAATCATTATCTGTATATGACGCGTTTTCTTCTACATCACTTATATTATCCTCCGTACAACTTAACTTTACCTCCTTTTTATTATGTTCATATGAATCAACATTTGATTTTTTAGCGATTAAACTCTCAACCATATCTTTTTTTTCTTGATTTTTTATTCTTTCAGAACGGGGTTTTTTAGTTGTTGCATTACCATCGCTATTTTTATCATTATTTATTACAAATATTGTTGGTACCGTACCTGGTTTTAAGCGGGGTGATCTTAACTTGTATTTGTCTCCCAATAATTTTTGTTTTAAAATGTCTGAGTCATCAAAATCTTGACTTTTAAAATGATGAGAACATATCACAGAATTATTAGTTGGTTTAAAAAGTTTACGCTTGCAAAAATTGGTCCATTTATTAAAACGCACAGGTGAATTATCGCGATTAGGAAATCTATGGGTTCCTTTATTGTTACTACAACCAAATACACTACAATACACTACAATACGGCATTATTTTCTTCGAATATTAAGTATTAGAGTATATTATATTTTTGCAGTACACACTACACATACGGAACAAAAATGATATAACGCGACGCACTAGTACACTACATACCGACTAGGCGAAAAGTGAATACTGACGAATTGGTTAAAATTGTTCGGTCAACAGAAAGTCTTGAGTATCATTTATAAGTATTTAGGAATAGTGTTATATTTATAATTTATAAATAATTAAGGACCTATTTATGGAAATAAAAAAAAAATAATTGGCGATTAGCGATCGGCAGGCGACGAGAATATTATTATACGTATTCTTCATACGGTTTGTTGCGACCGGCTGCCAGTGCCGCGCTGAGACGTCCGACGCAATGACGTCACAGGTATATTTTGATTTCGCCTTAACTCTGTGAATAATTTTTTTTTTCACATTCTGTTTTCATGATATTTTTTTTTATACTACTAAGTATGAAAACCAAGTTTAATTTTTTTTTTTTTTTTTTGGGTTGTGTATGCCTTTAAGTCTATGTTGTAAAGTAGATCTTGGTATACCATATTTTTGAGCAGCTGCTTTTTTACTTAATCCACCATTTATAAATGCATCTATATTGGATTGAGAAAAATTTTCCCTCTTTCTCGGCATGTCAAGATAGCTAAAATAAATATAATATTCATTAACTCTTTAGTAGGCACCTATGTAAAATTGAATACAAATTTAAGTACTTAAATTCAATTTTAAAAATGTTTTGAAGTGCCAATAACTAAATTATAAATTGTCAAGTTTGAATCTATTATTGGCATTAGATGCCAATAATTAAAATAAACAAAATATTTACATCGATTATTGGCACCCACTAAAATAAAAACAAAAAAAAATGTGTTGACCAAAATACTAATATTTTTTAGTTCATAAAGTTCTAACATATTATAAAAACATAAATGCAGAAGCTAAGTAATGATTTTTAGTTGATAAAACTCTTAACTTAGTAAACATAATAAGTGTTAAAAGCTTAAGATTTTACCTGTTTTGACGACGATCACAGTAGAGTATTTTCAATGTTTTTTTGCTTATCGGCCAGAAATCTAGTATCACTAATAACAATTTGGAGCGAAAGCTTATCAGTGTAGGCATTTATTGATATAAAAACATAACTTATTAATCCACCACATCATTATTTATTATAAAAACAATGTTGCTATGCCAATAACTATACCAGTGCCAATAATACCCTACTCTACCCTACTGGTTCACTATTATAAAGTATTGTCTATAATTGTGTTTATCAAATGTGCGTTCGGTACCCGTATTTATAATTTCTAGTTTTCAATCTATTAATATCACAGATATTTATACTAGTATAGACATGGCTTAAATATACAAGGTTATTGCACATAGCCATTATTGTTATCAAATAAAATAAAATGGCAGCGTAAGGGTCACGATTCTTTATCAATTATTGTTATCACTTAATTATATAATGTAAACATAATATTTAACTAATGCTGTAATGCATAATATTGTAATATTTTGTTATGTATTTAATGTTGGATCATTACCAAGTAGGATTTATTAATTTATTATACACTGTTTACCTTTTTTTTCAACTCAACTACTCAACTAAATAATTCATATTAATAAAGGTGAGGGATAATGAATGTGTAAAGGACTAGAGAACATAATATGAAAATACTTCAATTGTTTGCACAACTTTTGAATAGGTAGGTAACTATTTTCTGTATTTACGTGTTTTTACATTTCTAAATTATTTAATTTCTATTTTATTAAAACTAAAATCTTTTATTTTTTACTTTTATGTATTATAAGATTATTGGTTGGTGGTATGAAAATGACTTGGTTACTGGAGGATGCGTGTAGTTTAGGTATTATGTTGATGACTTTGTTCAATTTTTTCTTATTTTTCTTCATGTTGTCATATTTTTGTTTATGTTCAGCATTAATAGCACGAACTAAAATAAAAGTTCTTGTACGTATTAAGTATAATAAAACCTTTTCTGGTACCGGTAAATCTCCTTTATAATAATTTATGACTTTATCAGCTATTTTTCTAATTATTGAAATGTCTTTAGAAAAGTATTCACCATGGAATTGTATAAAAAAATGCTCCATTACCTTGGCCACATCCATCAATTTATTACTGGGCACTGTTAAGTTACCTCTTGAAGCATAAGCTATCCAACTAGAACTATTCATATCACCATTAGACATCAAGTGTGGATATTTAGATCTGAAATGATGCGCTACAAATCCAGTGATATATTCTAAGCCAGCCATTGATATAATATCATTATTGATATTCTCATTCATATTTTTTATTTCAAAATCAAATTCATCTTCATCAAATATTAAATCATTGCCATCAAGTATTGCATCAAAAATTGACTGTGTAAGTATAATGTCTTTCTCAGCTTCATTGGCATTATTTTCATTTGAAATGTTTTTATTTTCTAGAAGTTCGGTGGATAAATTATTTGTCATAACATCATCTTCAACATTTTTATGCAAACTGAATACTGCCGAAGAGTGTTTTCCCAATATATATTTTTTGAGTCTATAAATAAACTCTAATGGTCCTGGATGGTCAAATGAGTGACCCATAGCTCGTAAGTATGAAAATAAATTTTCTAAAATATCTTGATTTAATCGACGAGTTAATATATATGTTATACCATTGAATCGATCCTGAAAAAGGAATAAATTAGTATAAATTTATTTTTTACAATTTTAAGAACTTATAAGCTTTTTTGTTACTATTTTCTATAGTCATTATTTTAGTTAGATAAATTGTATTTATATATCTTAT